GATAAATGTTTATTATCCAATATACTTCCACTGCATTCTCAATATTTAATTATTGCAAATTTAGTAATTATCAACATTAAATTTTTATAAGTGTTTTTCATCACTACTGCGCTATTAAGCATTTGTATTTTAGTATTCAAATTAATGATATGGTAGTATTTATTACTGCAGTCCTAAGTATTAAAATATTTGGAATTATTGCGAGTTTTATAATTTAATCATTATAAATAACTAACAAGACTATTTTAAATATTCTAAATAAGTAATTAATCACTAGATTAGTAACAATACATTTCTGTAAGGGTAATAAAATATATTATAATTGTCATTTTATAATATAATGATTCTAATATATATATATATCGATAAATATACCGATAAAGGTATTATTGAGTTTGTCAACTCAAAATAACCCTCTTTTTCCCGAATTGGAATACTACAGCTCCCTAAGAAATTGCGCAAATGAGAGGGATTATTCAAATATTAGGCAATTATTCGACTTTTTATAAATTAATATCAATGCTTCAGTGAAAAAGGCTGAGAATTAAATTACCCATCTAATATAGAAGACACTGTAATAATTGACAAATGTTCTAATCTAACTTAAAAAAAGCAGTGGTAAAAACAAGTGTCGTTCGAGAAGCAACATTTAAAGCATTGCCTGCTTTTCGTCTCTCAGTTGGAAAAAAAAGTGCCGCTGAAGCCAGGAAATGATTTGTGCGGCTTTGGGAAAAAATGGTGTACATATGTGTGTGTGTGCGCGCGCGCGCGTGTGTAAGTGCGTGCGTGCGTACGTGCGTGTATGTGTGTGTGTGTGTGTTCTATAGATGTTCACAATGTTATAAAAATTTGGGAAGTGGGCCCCCCACCAAGGATGCTACTTTCAATATACTTACAACATGCTGCGGCGCGAGGTGATACGTATTAGCGAGCGACCGTGTACGTGTGCATTTTGATCAGCTTTGGGTAGCAGGAGAACACAGACATACAACCTATTGTTTCTTTCTTTCCAAGGCTATAGTTATATTAGATGCTTGAATTCATTCTCGCTCTAGACTAATAAAGGTCAGTAGTTGTGCTACTTTAACACAGTCGAAAGTGACTGTTCATGTATATGAAAGTACTTTCAGTAAATTCTAATAATCAATGTGTAACACTAAATCATACTGAAAAGAACACAATATTTTATTGCACTGAAGATGTCGGATTTCATATCAAAAATGAGCATTTGCAGGAAGTATTATTTTTCTGCTTTCATCTCAAGAAATCTGCTCTTGAAAGTCATCGTTTGCTAGTGGAAGCTTATGAGGAGTATGCCCTGTTTGAAACAACTTGTAGAGATAGGTTTAAACTATTCGAAGACAACTATATTGACGTGAATGGTCAGCCGAAAAAGTTGAAGATGGAGAATTGGTGGTATTACTAGAAGAAAATTCATATCCGACGCTCAAAAAGTTGTCGGAAACACTATATGTCGTTGGGTCAACCGTAGCAAACGTTTAAAAGCAATGGTAATGGTCCAGAAACTAAGAAACTGTGTCCCACATGAATTGAGAGGAAGAGATATTGAGTAACGTTTAACCATTTATGATGTTACTTCAAAGACAAAAGCGAAAGTCGATTTTGCATTGAATTGTGACTGACGATGAAAAATGAATTTGTCACTACAATCTTAAGCGCAAAAATCATGGGTGCGTCTCGGCGAACTATCAACATCAACGCCAAAACAGGATATTCATGGAAAGAAGGACATGCTGTGCATAAGATGGGATTAAGTCGGTATAGTGTATTATGAACTGCTGAAACCGAGTCAAACCATCAATGCTAAACGCTACTGCTAAACGACAATTACTCAATTAAAATCGAACACGCAAAATAAAACGCCCGCAATACGAAGAAATGACATGAAAAAATGATTCTTCTCCATGACAATGCTAGATCACATGTTGCAACATTAGTGAAGGAAACCTTGGAGGCACTTGAATAGAATGTCTTATCCCACTCACCCTGTTCACCAGACGTTCTCCTTCAGATTATCATTTGTTTTGGTTAATACAGTATTGCCTTTCTAAGCAGCACTTCAGTTCTTTTGAAGATATCAGAAATGGTTCGATGAATGAATCGCCTTGAAAGAAGCTAAATTTTTTTATCTCGGAATCCATGTGTTACCTAAAAAGTGGGAAAATGTTGTACCTTCCAAAAGACAATATTTTAAATAAGATATAATGTACCGTTTTTTTGAAATAATTATGAATTTTTGTAGCAAAAAACTGCGAGATTTGATTCATGCACCTAATAACTAACGCCAGCGATGTTATAACCGTATCATACAAGCGACTCGTGGCTGTAGCTACAACTACACGATGGAACTAGGATGATGATTCTTCCTCGATAAATTAGAAAACAGTAACTCACCATCACGACTCACAACTGCCGTTTAGCCGGACATCCATTTTCATGATTCGCGGCCGTAGTCGCAGCCAATTATAGAACGCCATTTAATCACGTATCATGTTTGTCACAACATTCGGATAATAGGTTTGTTGCCGTACTGCCTCCACAATGATATCGAAAATTTTTTTGAACGAGGTAATTTACCGTTTAATAGATTTCGTATTATCTAATGTAAAAATAACTTTTAATAGCTTTTAGTCCGTTTGTTCAACTAACTTATCGGATTTAATCGGCTTTTTTGAATGAAACGATAACAATCGCTTTTAATCCATTTATATAACTAACAAATCGAGTTTAATCGACTTTAACGAAATTGTTTCCGTGGAACGATTTTAATAAAAACTTAA